AAGGCCTCTTGTGATAAGTTAGGCCCGCCTTCACTTAGGGCGGGCACCACTGCAACCGGGGCCCCTTAGGCCTGCCGAGGACCCAGATCCTCGCAAATGCCTGATCCAGAATCAATGTCCGATTCCCTCATCTACTGCAGGTATCACTTGAGGTCCACCATAGAATGGTCGCCCCTCTCTCTCGTCTCTCTCCTACGCCGAGGCTATGGCGGACTACCAGGGCATTGCCCTGCTGTCCAAAGGACAACACAGAGCAGCTATGGCTGCTCTAGCTCAGGCCGCCATGCCTGAGTCTGCCTCGAAGCTTCTTGGTGTAGCTCTGCCCCAACGGGGGCCTTCCTGCTGCAGCACCCACCAAGGTGATGAAGATGGCAACCACCATAACCAGGTAAGTACCTCTAGCACTCCCCTTTGTAGTCCTGGTCTTCTTCCTCCTCCGTGTCCTTGCTCCTTCCCCAGCAGTGCAGCTGAATGCTAGCGCTGCTCCAGCCAGCGCTCTAACCAGTGTGTCACCAAACTTGTACACTGACAATGTGGAGGAAACTGGCTCCTCCTGGAGATATAGCGGCCTGCTTGCCTCTTGGCGAGTGACTTCCTAGGCCGCACGGCCTCCAAGGAACCGGTACCTTCTCCCTTTCGGAGGGAAACATCATTGGAGACTCTGATATTGCCTGTACAGGCCCTAGACTCAGACTGGTTGAACTGGTACCCGCCTAGACCTAGCCTACAACTACTGGGCCTCTAAAAATGCCAACTTTTGTCATCTTCTGCTCGGCCTCTCGTGTGGTACCGGCCTACCTGCTACTTGAGTGTTTTCGCTGATTCAAGTGTCACGGGCTTCTTTCTTTCCCCCACTGCAATCCTCAATGTCACGGCCACAGGTAAGTACCGGCCCTTCGGGCCAGCTGAACGAACAAGTGCCCTTGCGGGTCGCACACACACTCGAGACAAGTACTCAGACGCACATGCAGACCAGCAAGCGTTCACATACACAGACTTAGAGAACTCAGTAACAACTGGGAAACTCAGCGAGGCATTCATTCCATGACCAAAACTCAGAAATCAGTTGTGTGTCTCAGTCCGTGTTTGGTCAGGTCGTTACATTACCCCCTCTCTTAAGAGTGAGGTGTTTGGTCAGGTCGTTACATTACCCCCTCTCTTAAGAGTGAGGTGTTTGGTCAGGTCGTTACATTACCCCCTCTCTTAAGAGCGAGGTCCCTTCGCGCGAGTAACTCATTTTGAGTCCCCGACAAACGCATCGTAAGCAAACAAAGCAAAGAGATTTCGAGAGTACTCAGTAGCAGTGAGTTTTGCAGAGATTTTACATACAACATTGGAGGATATTAGTCTGTCTCTTATACACATCTAGATGTGTATAAGAGACAGGATTTTGGCCCAACTCCACTCACGACATGCACAAAAGGATACGATGGTGAATCTTCCCACGTCCTATTGGAAGATCCATTCCCATTTTGCTCATTTGGTGAGCAGTGGACCGTTCCCCTATTTGTCAGTACAGCGGGGGTTTTGGAAACAGGCTGTCAGTGAGAATTTAAACCCCGCTGTACTGACAAACAGAGCATCGGTGCACAACTCACCAAATGAGCACAATGAGAATGAATCTTCCGCTAGACGGCCGTTTCTTTTTTTTTTGTTTCCATTTCGTGTGTAGGCTACACGGCCGTTTTTTTTTTTTTTTACTTTTCCATGTCTTGAGCAGGCCCCGAACCTGTACCGAGCCTGTGTGGGAACCTCCGAGCGTGCTGGAGGTTGCAATTTTTTGGCTGATAAAGGTGCTGGCGGTTTAAGAAATACCATGAGGAAGTGGGATGGTTGTCTGTGATGATAGGGAAACCTCTAGACTTGGTATGTCTGTGATGATAGGAGAACTGTCATGGCAGGGAAACCTCTCGATTTATGTCATATGTTTACAGCTTGATCATCTATCAAGGAAGTCCTCCAGCAGAAGGTGGGGCACCCATATGGGCGGGACAGCCAGGCCCCGCTTGCCAGTGTGCGTGGTATGTTTGCTGAAAAAATGAGAAAACAGAAATGTTCAGCTAAGAGGTGCTGGTTGATGATAGCGACCTCGTCTCCGGGAAATGAAACAGACGGAAGCTAAGGTGTGGGCACGGCTGGACAAGCTTTGGAACGCTAGCTGTCTCCAGGAAATGAAACAGATGGTAAAGCTAAGGTCCGGGCAAGGCTGGGCAAGGCTGGGCAAGGCTGGGCAAGCTTTTGGAATGATGGCTACCCTTCTAGGTTGACGTTTAAAAGGTCTGATAAGCGGAACAGGTATTGTGAGTGTCTTAAACCTCGTATGATTCTGGGAATCAATGAACTCCTTTTTCTGGGAATCAATGAACTCCTTTGTTACCTATGTGATGCATAAGTCTTATAGTATGGAGAGGAATTGCAGTATTCTATGACGAGATCTTCAACTGCTACGAATCAACAAAGTTGAAGCTTGCCTCTGCAGCAGGAGCGATTTATCGGATTGCGGATAACACAAATTCTGGGCCCTTGCTGTTGTTGGAATTGATGACATATTACAGGCACCTAAGACTCCTCGGACATCCTCGTGGCACTTTTTTTAATGGCGCAGACGGGTAGCCGGAAGAGAGAGGGGGCAACGCTGGCATGACGTGGTTGAAGCCCCAAGCACGGCTGGGAAAGATTTGGAATACTAGCTACCCGTCTGAGTTGACATTGGAAAGGTCTGATAAGCGGGACAGTTGCTGTGATTTTCTTTAAGCTCAGATGATGGTGGGAGCTTGAGACCTCCATGACGCATAAGTTTTAAAATGGCGGTTTGGTCTCTGGAGTCCATGTGGGCAGCAGGAACGATTTCTCAGATAACACGAGTTGTAGGCTCTTGCTGTGAGCTTGAGACCTCCGTGACGCATAAGTTTTAAAATGGCGGTTTGGTCCATGTGGGCAGCAGGAACGATTTCTCAGATAACACGAGTTGTAGGCTCTTGCTGTTGTTGTCTTGATGACATAAGTTACAGGGGCCTAAGATCACATGGACGTGTGCTGCACTTTTTTTAATGCACTGACAGGTTAGCAAACACACAAGGAGGGGGCCCGGGGTGGGGTACAAACTTCGAAAATTTAAGCTCAAGGGTCTGCAGAGTTGCACTACAGTTAAACGTTACTGAAGCACCCAGAAAGAGAACGTTGGCAGGGTGATTTGTATGTGCACACCTAGGCAGAGAAGGCTGGTAGGGTGTCGTATATGAGCACCAGGGCCACCTGGGCGGAGAAGGCTGGGGGGATGACTGGTACACAGACGCAGAAACAATTCAGAAGGCTGGGGGGATGACTGGTACACAGACGCAGAAACAATTCAGTCCTCATGCGTGCTACTTGGCAGTGGAAGTTGAAGGTGGACACACTGAGGAACTCTGAAGCACATCCGAGAACGGACAAGTACAGAAGGGATAAGCACCCAAGGCATGGGCACAGAACAGGTAGTGAGGGAAACACAATTCAGTAACTTCAGTTTATTTATTATGGTACAACGGTCGTGGATATGAAGTGAAAAGCTGGGGAAAAACAAGACAAGTGGCTGCCTGTTTTCTGTCACTCGGTAGGTAACTGTGGGTGGTAGCCTCCATTCGGCACTAGTAGCTTTTTGTCAGTGGAAGTAGTAGTATCAAAGAACAGGAGGGGAAAGGTGGCGGAAAGCATAGCCAGAGAGGTGGAAGCAGGTCTACGGACGGGTGGGCCCCCGTGATGTGTTCAAATCTTTACAATGTGAGACTTGAGTTTCCTTCTATCTTTTTAATCTTCGATACTGTGTGGTGTTCCTAGTAGTGCAGATTGAGTTTCCCTGGACTTTATAGCTGAAGAAAAGTCTCAGAATTATTTTTTTTTGAAGATTTTCTGCCGATAATAAATATATGTTTACATTCTCTGGATGTCTCTAGACAGTGTTCGGATGGTCAATTTGATTCAAGTTGATTGTAGCAATGCAGATGTTCACATCATACCATGCTGTGGAGTCTTTCCCATATGATTGTAGCAAGTTGATTGTAGCAAGTTGATTGTAGCAATGCAGATGTTCACATCATACCATGTTGTGGAGCCTCAATCTGGTTGGCTGCGTATGGTTGATCCATTCCCACTTATGAGCCACGAGCCTGGAGTTTCTTTCACTTGCCAAGGGCTGGCAAGTTTTGTATTGAACTGGACCACATGCACCGCCGTTTTTGCAGGACACCATGAATTCCTTCGGGCTTCAGACTTGCGACCGTACTCCCCAGGTGGAGATGTGCATCTTATCTGTATGGTTTTGTATCGAGAAATACATGTGGTTGAAACCATGCAGACCCATGTAGTTCTGTGTTGAGGCGTTCATCTGCTTGCCTACAAAGCCAACAGTTGTTTGTTGGAAGACCCTCTCTGATTCTGGATTCAGGGAGCCAATTCTCTCACATAAAATCAGCAAGCTATGCTTGGCGGCTCTGAACTTCTGAAGCTCGTTTGTTTTAGGCAAGACAAATGAAGGCCATTACACAAATCTGAAAAAAGGTGGGGACAAACGAAGAACGGGCAGGAATGGGCAGCATTAGCATAGGTAGGTGATGCAAATCATTTTTCTTGTGTTCCGCTATAGCTGCATGAGAGTACGTTCTTGCTATTCATGTGGTCTTTTTGAATAGTCAAGCAGCTTCATTTTACAAAGCACCCTTAACTTCGTAGGTTCGTACCCTTTTAGATTCTGTCAAATGCTGAAGTTTGTTTGTGTGGCAAAACCAAGCTGGAACTTCACACGGGTGTTTCTGTAGGACAGTGCAGGTCATTCTAGGGATGTGACGTGTTCTGTAGGACAGTGCAGGTCATTCTAGGGATGTGACGTGTAGCACTGCGTACCATGACTCATTCCATCTCTTTCCTCTCTGTGTTTGTCATTTTGTTTCATTGCAGGAGATCCGTCCTGAGAAGAAGAATAGGGGATTCTTGTTCCGAGGAAAGTAAAATATGTCTGGCCTGTGTACAGCATCAATATCAACCGATGTCCATGCCCTGCTTTGCTTCTCAGCAGCAGAGACTTCAGCCCTTCTTCCCTGTTCCTGGACGTATGGTACTTGCCACCTCCTCCTGCTGCTGCTGCTGCTGCTCCTGTTTCTGCTTCGGTTTAAGGTTCAGATTCAGATCCGAATGCGTAGATAGGTTTTGATCTCCATGGACTTCAAGATTCCCAGTATCTATTTTTGTTACTGGTTGTTGTGATTCAGACCGCATGTGCACAGGCCAGCACCACATTGTTTTGCAACAAGAAATGGATGTGATGGGTAGCCTATCAGCATGATGATTGGGATGTGATGGGTCGCCTATCAGCCCTCATGATTGGTATCGTAACTCCCCCTAAAATGTGTCCATGGGGAATGATAGTCACAACCTCTCCAGGAACCTTTTTCTTGACGAGGAACCTGTTCTTCTGCAACTGCGTCTCAGAGCCATATTACATGTATGCTTGTGCAGCCATATTACATGTATGCTTGAGTTCAGGAACCTTTGCCCTGGTCAACATGGTTTTGGCAGAGAGGTTTTGTGGATTGGCAGTGGTTCAGTCAGAGATTTGGAACCTCGCCTCAAAGGCCTCGTAATACTGCATGATCACTGATGGTCAAAGGGCTTGGAGCCAGTGCTGGACTGCAAGCTGTAGCACACAAATCTGGTGCATGGGCTGCCGCACAGAGTTGGAGCCATCATGCAGACTGATGGAACAAATGTGCGCAGGCAGTCGCAATTCAGCAGTCTGGATCCTGTTCTGGACTTGGAGGAGTGGTGTAGACCTCCAGGCCTGGAATGTAGACCTCTGGTGGAGTATGTTTGTGACCAGCTCGCGGTTCTTGTTGCTGGATGTTGTCACTTCGTGTTTGCCACAGGAATGGATGTATTCTTCAAGAATGTGCAGCAGAAGGCAAGGTCTGAAGATGGGACAGAAATGTATAAAGGCAAACACAGTGCTTGTTGCTGGATGTTGTCCCTTCGTGTTTGCCACAGGAATGGATGTATTCTTCAAGAATGTGCAGCAGAAGGCAAGGTCTGAAGATGGGACAGAAATGTATAAAGGCAAACACAGTGTGTAAGGCAACAGCAGGTGGAAGCATGCTGACTTGCAAGCAATGTGCATGTAGGCAATCAGTATACAGTATGATTTAAAGCACGGTAGCTTGAAGATTGGAACAGGACTGATTGGCTTTGCTACATCAGGTGGCTTGCTAGCCTGCCCACAGTTGATTAATTTAGGTGTCGTGTAGTGGGTTTCGCCACACCATGTGGCTGGTTAGCCTGCCCAGTCCACTAATGTGATGGATGGTCTCTTGTCAGCCTTTCGCCAGGGCTCCTGCCTTCGCTCTCATCTACCTTTTCCCGCTCAGTGGAACTTGGACATGCCCAGATGATGAGCACTTGATCGGAGCAAGTATCCCTCCTGTCAGGGGGCAGGGAGGAGGTATCCGAAAACGGGCCAAGCCAGGGACGCATTGGGAGATTTTCTGTGCTGATTGGAGTGAAGTGTTCCTCTGTATAGGAGACTGTTATCAAGAAGATCATTTTTTGGTGGCTTTGTTGTGGAACATCCTGTGTCTCCTGTCCGGATCCTCTTGAATGAACCCCTGGTTGTATCTGCAGCGGCTGTCACCCATGGAATTGGGGAGTGCAACCACATCTCTTCCCCCCTCTGATGCACTCAGACAGTCTACAATGCTTGGAACACACTGTTTGCCATGTATCTGTGTGAGACTATTGCATGTGTCAGGTGTGTGCGCATGGCTGAGCCAGTTTCTTGTTGACTGCTCCCCTGGGATCATCATGATTGGTCCAGAGGGTTCTTAGCCCGCTCACACATACAGTGCTTGAGGTTCAACCTCATGCTGATGTTTGCGATTTGTGTTTGCCTTGGTCATGTACTTGATTCCTGGGAAGCATAAGATCTTCTGTCTGGGGTAATACAGGGTACTGAGGTGGCACTGACAGTGTGAACAAGCAAGGCACTCTGCGGGCACACCAGGACATTGTGTGGCCGCTTGCCTGCATGCTTGCGGAAGGGTCTCTGTCAGATGCCTTTCACCATGCGAACAATCTGCATGCCACACACCTGCCTGCCTATCTGTGGAGCTCATGCCAAAGAGGCACACTTGCACATGTTGCCCCCTTCATTTGCCAGGCACACCCATGTGTGTCGGTGTGCATTTCTGTGTGGTTGTGTCAAGGACATCCAAATGCACACATACATTTCGGTGCACAAATCTTTACCTTTCTGTGTGTGTGTCTGTGTGTGCGTGTGGGTGCGTTCGATATATCCCATAGTGTACTCACCATGCACCCCATGGAACCCATGGTACACCCCGCCCTGCCGCAATCAAACTAACGCTGTATGTTGCCACTCTACTACCTCTCTGAAGCTACCTCGTACATACGTGGTTATCCATGATCAGGTTTCCGAAGTACCAGACAGAGGGCATGGGGGAGGCGGGAGAGCAGACAACATGCAAGCACACCACAGGCAAACCAAAAAAAACAAGTCGCAGAACAATGCCAAGACNGCATGGGGGAGGCGGGAGAGCAGACAACATGCAAGCACACCACAGGCAAACCAAAAAAAACAAGTCGCAGAACAATGCCAAGACCAGGCAGACAAGAAAAGCATCAAGGCGTGCCAAACAAAGCAAGCAAAAGGACATCAAGGCATAGGCTGGAGGGCACTGGGAAGGGAAAAGCATCAAGGCATGCCAAAACGAAGCAAGCAAAAGGACATCAAGGCATAGGCTGGAGGAAGCAAGCAAAAGGACATCAAGGCATAGCCTGGAGGGCACGGGGAAGGCGGGAGGGCAGACAACCTGCAAGCACACGAAACAGGCAAACAGGAAAAAACACAAGTCAAGAGTTGCACCGACTCATCAGGAGGCTGAACCCCAGACAATCTGCAGAATCTCCATATTCAATGGTTTGGGTCATGAACCCTGACCCTTGTTGAAGGCAGACTATCCCCAAGCGGAACTTAGCACCGGGCAGCAACCCTGTGGAGCACCAGGCAACACAGTAGAGGCAACAGAGCTGCACAACACCAAAAACCACTGCAAGGAACAACATGGCATGCAGGACATGCAGCGCGGCAACCGTGTAGTGAAGCACAAGAGAACACAAGCAAGGCAAACGCACTACAAGGGACGACAGGGCAATTGGACCAGCAGCTCAGCAATTGTGGAGTGAAGCACAAGGCACTAGCAACAAGGCCCGCAAGCAGCAAACACGGAAGGCACGAGCAGCGGAAGGGCAGCAAGGCAGCGGAGCAGCGAAGCGCAAGGCAACACCAACAACACGGCCACACCACGCAGCGAACACATCAACCTGCAAAGAACCACATGCGAAGCAAGCGGGACAGGCAGCAGGGCAGCAGCGGAGCGCAGACAAGGCCGTCCACACATCCAACATGGAGCAAAGTGGCACATCCAACACTCACATCATGATTGAACCCCGCAGACTGTTGGTTCCCACCACCCACTGATCCAGGGAGACTCCGACAAGCATCCATCATCACCCACAGGCAACACACACACCCCGAACCGAGCACCCCCCCTAAGAGTGCAGTAGGCACTCCAGACGTGGAACCAACGACTGTTTGGCACTACTTAAGGGTGCCCAGTTTCACCCACAGGCAACACACACCCCGAACCGAG